AGCGCACCATCCACCCAACTGCTCCACACAACTCCAGTTACTCACCTTTGCATTTCACCCTCAGGCTCATTGCTAGATCCATCCAGAGTCTACCACCTTATCCACAAAGCACGGCCTGAACCCAGCCACCTCTTTCATGCCCATTACTGTCATGCCAGGCCATCTTGTCCACAACTCATACACCCTTAGCCTCCTACACACACATGAACAAGGTCCCTTACTCCAGATGCAGCCTCTGCCCTTCCAGTAGCACTGAGGCCCAGAGGTACTGGGAGCTTTACAAGCCTCCGTGTAATCTGCAAACCCCCTTTCCAAACTCACTTCCTAAAGCACAACCCCCATCTTTTCTGTTCTTCGGAAATGCTAAAACAAGGAAAGAAGGTGCTCTCTCCAAGATCTTACATGATTCACCCCATGAACCCCGCTCAGATGAGCTCATTCTTGTCTGGGACCCACTACTCTGTCTTCCTGCCCAGAGGTTCTTTACCCCACTTTGCTAGATCTTGTTCAGGTCTCATCTTAGCAACCTATTTGGGCAGGCAGTCCTTAATCACCAATCTGCTTTCACACTGTTGATGGCCTTTCTTCCTCTCGTGCAAAAAAATGTAAGACCCATGAAAAATTAACCAGTGTGTCTTATTAGTGTTAAGACACTCAGTGATGATTTGCTTAACAAGTGGACTAGCTGGAGCCATAAACTTTGCTCTCATCACCATTCAGTCACATGGGCTTTTGCTATAGATACAAACAGGTTCAGTATTCCTGACAGCACAGTTCTCAACAAGTCTCAGGGCCTCCTCACTTAAATCTTTCATAAGCATTCTATCAGAGAGTTATATATCCCCAGTCCTCGTAGGAACCTTGGGGTCACCTTGTTCTTTCATACTTGGCTATTTTTTTTTATTCTGTCAAAGGAGTGACACACAATATCACTGCGCCTGTTATAGCATCAATTATCATTCAGAGCCAGGCGGTGGTAGCACACGCCTTTAATCCCAGCTCTCGGGAGGCAGAGGCAAGCCAATCTGTGCGTACAAGGTCAGCCTGGTCTACAAGAGCTAGTTCCAGGAGAAGCTCCAAAGCTACAGAGAAACTCTGTCTCAAGAAAAAAAAAAATTATCATTCACAGCATCCTGTCTAAAAGAGTACAACTGCCTGGAAAAAGAACCTTAGTATTTTAAAGCTTTTCTAGGAACATAAAAATGCAATGCTTTGATAACAGTGTCTTGCACCTCAAAAGAAAAATAATAAAATAGTGATAGCATACAGAAGTTATTAAAATAAAAGCACACCAATACTTAACCACTTAGACCTCTAGTCTAGTAGAAATCAAGATTTCAGGTACTTTTAAGTACGAGGTTCTTGGTTTTTATCCTCATTTACTATCTAGAACTATTTCAGAATTACACATTTCCTATCTTCTTCAACAAAGTATGCCTGGTTTTCTTTAGCCTACACTTGTGTGGTTTGGGACAGGCAGTTAACAAACAGGAAGAGATAGCAAGCATGTAAGGGAGAGCCACAGGAGAGTGAAGAAAGAACAAAGCACAGATCCCAGGCCACAGAGCTACTATTCATATGAATTAGGATGTAAATGTCCCCACAACTCAGAAAACGCAGGAGGAGCATGTTTAAACAAGGTTCTTCCTACTATGTAGTGCTGGCTGGCCTGGAACTTGTGTCTGTGCTCCTGCCTCTGTCTCCTTCCTGAACGTTCGATTATAGGCTTACAGGGAGTGTGAACCCAGTCAAAGCGGGAAGGATGTTCTCTAATATTTTGTTTGGATTTATTTGGGGATGGGGAACCACCTGATGTTTGCACCTAGAGTCTTAAGTGTAACAGGCAACTGATCTACCACTAAGCTGTAACTTCAGCAGTTTTTTTTTTTTTTCCTTTTTTGGTGCTTTATGACAGGATCTTGATAGTCTAGGATAGTCTTGAACTCGTAATCACACTGCCTTAGCCTTCAACTGCTAGGACTGCAAGCACATGTCACCACACCAGACTTTCCGAAAGTAAGCATCATAATGAGCCGAAGTGATAAAAATGTGACTCTGAAGAAAGAGACAACATAAAAGCCAGCACTGGAAAGAACAAAAAACAAAAAAGGAAGATACATCGGCTGACAAAGCCCGTGCGCTGACTTCACGGTAACTCAGATGTCAGTGAAGTCGTCCATAACCACTGGCAGCTACATAATCCCTCATTCTTTACCCATATTATATTCTATGCTGCTGCTCCTCAAAGTAAGGACACTTTGAAATATTAATGCACACAAGCTTCTCAAACTGAAGGTTATCTTCAAATGTGGTAACTATTCTAATGAAAACAAGTCACCAAAAACAGGTCTTCTGTTTACTGTGGTAGCACAAACCAATGCAACCAAGGAAGTAGGAGGATCAAGCGTTTGCTACCAGCCTAGGCTGCATGAGACCTTAAAAATAAATGAACAAATAAAAGCCTTCTGGCCACCCTCTGCTGTCTGGCCAGTAAGAAAAACTAAGCTGTGTCACCTGATACCCTGCCATGACGGACAGCAGGTGTGACAAGAACCCAGAGCATACAGGTGGGCGCAGGGCTGGCTCTTTAACTCACTCTCTAGCTTGCAGCCCATTCCCACAGCTGCCACCCAGCCCAACAGAAACATGGGTCTTGGCTATACTCTGGTACAGACAACAGACTGCATATTTCATTTGTTATATATACAAAACCTAAAAATTAACTCTAGGTTCCCAAAACAGCTAATTCTAGACAAGAAAAGCAGAATATCTTGTCAATCTATATATAGATTCTGAACAAACTGATAAACACAAATGCAAATTTAACAGCAGTACTAATAATAGGCATATCTTCTGACATAAAGAATTAAAGGTATGTACCTTCAATCCCAGCATTCTGTGGAGGCAGAAGGTTTTTTTCAGGTTGAAAAGAACTTGATACTAATTAAAACAGCTTGGCTCATAAATACTAAAGCCACAGTCATTAAATAACTTTTCTAAAGCCACAAGAGTAGTAAGTGGTGAAACCAAAATTCAAACTTGCGGTCTGAGTCTGAAGCCCATGCTCTTAACCACAATATTTCTGTCTGTAAAGACAGCTTGTCTCTGTTTCAAGCCAAGATTCTCTACAGTAGCAAAAACAAAAATTTAAACCATACAACTGCCATAACCAAAGTACCAAGATATTAACATCCACTGTGAACCCCGTGAAAACCAAAACAATCACATGGTGCCAAGCTCTCTACAACAGGGCTCCCCACCCTAAACTACCTAGATGTTTTATCGCAAGCCCTGGAGATGTCAGGTTCAAGAGCCCCACACCAAGGCACATTCTCCATGTCTTTCTGAAAAGTAAGTCAAATTGGTGACAGTGAGGACAGAGGGACGAAAACAGTCTAGGACCCTGGAGGGAGACTTTCTCCTGCAACACCGGCAGAAACCAGCTGCAGGAGACTACACTTCCCATAATGCTAAGTGTGTACAAGGAGAGGAGACTCATGGGTACAAGTATGAAGGGACTCAAGGCAGCAGACATCAACTCACCTTTTTAAAAATTTTTCCATTTGGTTGAATTTCATCTTCCTCATTCAAAATTTCACGCGTTCCCAATAGCCTTTTGTCCTTAAACTTATTTTTTGCATACAGAAAGACTTTATCAAGTGTATTACAGCCAGGGTACAAAACTGAAGCCAAACTGTCCAAGCTGTCGATAGATCTGTATGCAGAATCCGGTTCTGAACTGACAGACTTTGCTTTAATTTGGTTTGATTTTTCTTGTCTTGACTCACACAAAAAGTAAAATGGAATGTACGTTAAAATAGTATAGACTGATATTACAAAATGTATGAAATATAAAAGTATAGGGTTGATGGTTTGTTTTAGCTTCATGGTAGATGGTTTTGAAGAGGCGTGGTTATTCATAAGTGTTCAAAAAATAGAATTAACTGATCTCAACAAGAACCTAGAAAAAGATAAAAGAAATAGGTTAGCTCAAAATCACTTTAAAAGAAAAACTCTTAAATATTAGCTAAGCAACTAGAACTGTCTTTGGGTCAGAGTTAGTATACGGCCCTCTGTAATATCCTAAATTTAAGAAACTTATTTGTACCATATATCTATTAACAATGGAATTACATGGAAATTTTCTACATACTGTGAACAAAGATAGCCTTTCCAATCCAGTCTCAAGTATCCACAAATACTTCAAGTGGTGAGGACAATGAGAAAGAGGAAAAGAAACCATAAATTTGCCTGCTTCGTGGGCTCACATTACACTGCATCAGCCCCTGTATATACACACTGCCTGTTTCCCAGTAAGTCCCACCTGTACTCTATGTAGTAACAAGGAACTTAACAGGCAAACATGCACACTGTATTTTATTGTCCATAGTAGTTCTGAATATTGGTCAATTTTTGCAGACCAAATTATGAAGCAAGACAACAAAGTATGACCATTGTGTCTTTCTTTTAATATTTACTCATTATATACAGTGTTCTGCCTGCATGTATGTCTGCAAGTGAGAAGGGGGCACCAAATCTCATTATAAATGGTTGTGAGCCAACAAGTAGTCACTGGGAATTGAACTCAGGACCTCTGGAAGAGCTCTTAACCTCTGAGCCGTCTCTCCAGTCCCCATTTGTATGTTTTTTTTTCCTTAACACACAAATTATGTGTCTTTAGCATTTACCAATTTCCTGGTTGTCACTGGTAAAGTCATTATGGAAATCAGTGTGGAGAATTCTCAAAAAGCTAAAGGATCTACCATATGACCCCAAAGGACTCACATCCCACCCCACAGACACTTGCTCAGCATTTCCACTGCCACTCTGTTCACCATAATCAGAAAATGAGAACAATCAAACTTCACCCAGAATGGATAATATGTGATACATATTCACAATGCAATCCTACTAATCTGTAAAGGACAATAAAATCATAAAATATTCAGGTAAATAGGTGGGACTAGAAAATACACTGAAGAGGAAAGCTAGATCCACAAAGTATCACATGTTCTCTCTTATTATGGATTCTATCTCTGAATCTTTAGATATGAGTATATAACCTGGAGTAACCACAGAAATCAGAAATTAGAAGAGCCCATGAGGAGGGGCATTTCTATGGTGGGGGAAATAGGAGGGCACTGGGGCTATAAAGGGAAAAATGGGAAAAACTGGAAGGAGGGATGGTTTAACTGGAAATGTAAAGGGAGGGAGAAAGGATAGATTAAAAAATGACATAATGCTTGAAAGCCATAGGGAAACATTTTAGGTTTGCTAATAAATACATTTATATGTATAAGTATATGTACACACACATACACACACATACTTTGAAGCTATGCCACTTGAGATGATAATGTTCTCCCCAAAAGCCATTATACTACCTAACAAAAACCCCAGTGCCAGGCAGGGGAAACCTTCAAGTTGATTAGGAGAGTTGAAAAGACTCCCAATAATAAAAGCTATTGTTGCTGGTTTGGTAGTCTTCCAGAACAGAGAGGCAAGATGCTATTGCTAAAGACATCAAATACCTCAGAAGAATCAAGCTGGAACTGACCTGGAAGCCGCCTGGCTGAGGACTAGCTCTCACAGCATCTGAGGATGCTACGCAAGCAGCCAAGGGAGAAGAGTCATCAGCAGTCCCGCCCAGCTGTGATGCCTATGAACCACAAGGACCAGCATGGCAATACCCTCAAGGGTAAAACAGTGATACAAACTTGGGGCAACCACAGCTGTCTAGCTGAACTTTAAGGCAGCTCAGTAGGAAGGAATTCATGCCTGGCTGTAACCCTAGCCAACTACCAGTGGCTTCGGGTTATGGAGCCTGAAGGAGAACATAAACATACTGCTGCTGCTTTCCTAACCCAGCATAACTTCTAACTGCATTCTAAACACGTATCCTGTACCCACGAATAAATGTAGCTCTTGCCCTTCATCAAAGAAGCTTCTTTTGCTGTAGATGGACATCGTTACACAAACCCACAACTGGTTAAAATGCAGAGAGCTGACTCTGCAGGACACAATTCCAACTGACACATCTATAACACAAGCCATACACCTAAGGCTCAGGGAACACATGGAAGAGTGGACAGAAAGACTAGGAGCCTCTGGACATCATCTGTGAGAAGTCTTCTAGATGTGACAGGAAAGCTGTCTTAAAAATACTGCAGCTTAAACGAAACCTGTACAATCTGAACAGTAACTGACATGCCAGTGTGAACTGGAAAAATTTCACAAGACCCCACCCCTAGATGAAGAACTGCAGACAAGCAACAGCTGCTGAGAAGACCAAATCAATCTTCTCCAGGGAGGAGGTCCTTGATAGATTATCCAATCCCAAGTGCCCAGTCCTAAACTCTGTGTGTGTGTGTGTGTGTGTGTGTGTGTGTGTCTCGATGCGCACTCACACACACAATACTAAATGGACTCAGCAGCTCTCCTGTGTGTGTGTGTGTGTGTGTGTGTGTGTGTGTGTGTGTGTGTGTGTGTTTAACAATAATTGAAGACATCATGAATTTGAGTAGGGGAATACAGTAGGTATTTTAGAGAAGGGTGGAAATGATGTAAATACAATACTTGCATATAAATTTTCAAAACATTTATAGTAAGGGAGAGAGTTAGTCAGTCAACCTAACTTACAGAATAAAATAGATAGTTTAGCTAAACCAGGCAGTGGTATACACCTTTAATCCCAGCACTTGGGAGGCAGAGACAGGCGAATCTCTGGGAGTCTGAGGCCAGCCTGATCTATAGAGTGAGTTCTAGGAAGGCTCCAAAGCTACAAAGAAACCTTGTCTCAAAACAACAACAACAACAAAGCTATCCAAACCTGCTACATACCACTAGTGGGAAGTCAGAACTCTCTACTGCGCTGGATTCTTCACCCAGACTCCTCAACAGGCTTCCCACTAGTAGTAGGTAGCCCTAGTTACAGGCTGATAATTGTTCTGTTGTCAACAATCATTGCACAGAATTATGAAGACCAGTCCAGAGAATATGGATTTTTGTCCTACAGTGGGTAGGGATCGTCTGGGAATCAAAGCTTCTATATAGGTAAATGAGGAAGCAAGAAAATAAATGGTCTTGGTAGTCCCAGAACATCACAATAGCAAAGAACAAATATATCCTAATAACTCCAAAAAACATAATTATCTAACGTGGTGGTTTGAGTAAGAATGCCCCATAGGCTCATTTATTTGAAAGCTTAGTCACCAGGGACTAGACCGGTTAGAAAAGATTAGAAAGATAAGGAGGTGTGGCCTTGTTGGAGGAAGTGTGTCACTAGGGGTGAACCTTCATTTAGGTTTCAAAAGCCCATAGCAAGCCCAGTATCTCTCTCTCTCTTCCTCTCTCCTGGCCTGTGGGTCAGGATGTAGCTCTCAGCCGCTGCCCTAGTGCCGTGAGTGCTGCCTGTTCCTGCGAGGCTCCCACCATGATGAAAACAGACTAAACCTCTGAAACCACGCTGGCCCCAATTCAGCTGCCTTGGTCATGTGTCTCTTCTTCCACAGCAATAGGACACTGACTGAGACAGCTAGCTACTACTCCCCTTTAAACTTAATTTTACATGTTTTTATTTAATGAAAAAGCTGGGTCCTTCACTACCTCTGAGGTTTTCTTCAGTCATCTGCATTCTACAGACACTGAAGAATGAACCAAAACAAGAAAGTGGATGCTTTGTATACCACATTGCAAACTTACTCCCATCCCCAATCCAGCACAAAGTGTTAAAACTAATTAGTATGACAACTACCCTGATTTGCTGGTCAAGGTAGAATTTCCCAGGATGTAGAACCCTCACTACTGAAAGGGAGGAAAAGTCCCACGCAAGCAGTGATGAGCAGGTTGGTTTATCTACAGTTAATTATTTCCTAGAGTCAGCAAAATAATGGTGACCTGAGTTCTACCACTAATTAGGTTTGGTCTTTCATCAAGAAATAACTTTTTGTAGCTGATTTCACCCATCAGTCACCATTTATCTAATGCACAAAATTAAAATAAGGATAAATGTGAAAAGCAGTAGGTATAAGCAAGGCTCTGGGAAACACAAAGGCATCATGAAAAGTGGCTAACACAGAGCTAAATTAAGTCGGGTTCAGTTTCATGCATAGTTAACAAAACATATAGGGAAAAACATACAGAAACTTGTTTTATTTAGATGTCACATTGCTGTGAGACAATGGTCTTTTATCCTGTCACTTGTATTATTTTAATAAAATGCTAACTGGCCAGTAGCCAGGCAGGAAGTAGAGGCAGGGTGACGAGAACAGGAGAATTCTGGGAAGAGGAAATGTCAGTCTGCAGTCATCACCCAACTGCAGAAGAAGCAAGATGAGAATCCCTCGCTGACAAAGGTTCCAAGCCATGTGGCTAACACAGACAAGAACTATGGGCTAATGTAAGTTAAAAGAGTTAATAAGAAAACTGAGCTAATAGGTCAATGAGTTTACAATTAATGTAGGGTTCTGTATGTTTATTTGGGACTAAACAACTGTGGGACCTGGTGGACAGAAACCTCAGCAACATCACAGGACTGACTTAGTACTATTACTGACAGTACTATTTTGATAACAAGTTTACAAAACCTCCAAAAGACTTGTTCCTTTTAGTGCAATGGTAACAAGGATTTGGTTTAATGCTGGCTCCCATTTACTCATCATGGAAATATGGTATGTCAATAACATCCTAAAGCTTCAAGTTCAACTCTAAGGCTAAACAGACAATACCAGGTACTCCAAAAAGCTCCTACTAGGAGCAAATAAGAAAAACATGGGACAATCCCTACACATACTGCAAAATGCAATACATCTGCTAGCAGGACTTGATTTTCACCTACAAAACTATCATTTCCATAGTCTAACTTTACCTTAAGTACTTCACACACCTTGCTCATCCTGAAAACATTGAAGTCTATTTCATGCTTAAGCACTTAGGCTATGAAGCCAAATTCCAGGCTTGACT